GGCAGGCAGAGAGAGAGGCGGAAGCAGGCTCTCCACAGAGCAGAGAGCCCGATGCAGGGCTTGATCCCAGGACTCTGGGATCATGACCTGAGCCAAAGGCAGAGGCTTTAACCCACTGAGCCACCCAGGCGCCCCATCAGTAGGGATTTTGATAGAGATTGCACTGAATCTGCAGATCAATGTGTACTGTCATCTTTACAACATCAGGTCTACCAGTCGATGGACAGAGGCTATCTTTCCACTTGTTTGGGTCTTTCTAAATTTCTTTCGGTGATATTTTGTAGTTTTCAGCATATAAGTCTTGCACTTCTTTTGTGAAATTTCTTCCTAAGTATTTTGTTCTTTTTTTTTAAATTTTCTTTTGTTAGTGTCCCAAAATTCATTGTTTATGCACCACACCCAGTGCTCCATGCAATATGTTCTTTTTGATGCTATTACAAATGGGATTATTTTATTAATTTCATTTTCAGATTGCTCATTGCTAAGTACATATAAATATGATTGATTTTTTTTTTTTTTGTATACTAATTTGGTATCCTGCAACCTTGCTGGACTTGTTTATCCTACTTTAAAATTTTTTTTTTTAGTGAATTACTTAGGAACTTCTGTATAGAAGGTAATGTTTATATAGAGAATAGAGATAGTTTTACTTCCTCCTTTCTGGTTGGAATGCCTTTTATTCCTTTTCTTTTCTTTTCTTTTTTTTAAAAGATTTTATTTATTTATTTGACAGAGAGAGAGATCACAAGTGGGCAGAGAGGCAGGCAGAGAGAGAGGGGGAAGCAGGCTTCCTGCTGAGCAGAGAGCCTGATGCGGGTCTCGATCCCAGGACCCTGAGATCATGACCTGAGCCGAAGGCAGAGGCTTAACCCACTGAGCCGCCCAGGCGCCCCTTTTATTCCTTTTCTTGACTAACTTCCTTGGTTAAAACCTCTAGTGCTGGGCGCCTGGGTGGCTCAGCGGGTTAAAGCCTCTGCCTTCAGCTCAGGTCATGGTCCCAGGGTCCTGGGATCGAGCCCCGAATCGGGCTCTCTGCTCCATGGGGAGCCTGCTCCCCCCCCTCTCTTTCTGCCTCTCTGCCTACTTGTGATCTCTGTCAAATAAATATATAAAATCTTAAAAAAAAAAAAAAAAGCCTGTTGGATTTTGTCAGATGTTCTTTCTGCATCCATAACATGGTTTAAATCAATCTGAAATTAAGGAAAGTCATACTGCATTCTCTTTGTAAAGACTTTGTTCAATGTATAAAAGGCTATGGTCTCCCTAATTCTTTCCCAGCCATCCACAGTTAACAACTTTTGTCAGCTTGCTCCATTTCCTTTCAGGTAATTTCCTATCCTATGTGTGTGTATGTATGTGTGTGTGTGTAGCTGTCCAAAATATATGTTAAAAAAAAAAAGATTTATTTATTTATTTGAGAGAGAGCGCATACGCACATGTACAAGTTTGGGGGCGGGGAGGGGCAAAGGGAGAGCGAATCCTGAAGCAAACTCCCTGCTGAGCACATTGAGCCCTGCATAGGCTCAATCTCAGGACCCTGAGATCATGTGACCCGAGCCAAAATGGGAAGTTGGCCGCTTAACTGACTAAGCCACACCTATACAGGACATGTTTTAATAAAAAATGGTATAATATATATACATATATGAGTGTGTGTGTGCTATTTCTTCTTGAGATACCATCTTGTTCCCAGCTGATATTCCAGCATCCCATCTTTCTTTTTCTTTTTTTCTTTTTTTTCCCCATCTTTCTTTTAAGGATGAGATCAAGTCCCTCCTTTTTTTTTTTGGTGGAAACTTCTGAGTTTATATATAACTTCTCTATATATAAACTACATATCAGACATCTTTCCTTCCAGTAACAACTTAGGATCTTACCCCCCTACTTGGCACTCTTCGGCACATATATATGCATATGTGTGTGTGTATACACACAGAAGATGTTTGGATTTGAACAACCCAAACTCTCACACAGTATACACTTACCCCTACACATCTTTTGTACCATAAGGAATGTTCCTAGCTATTGTGTGATGATGGTGTTATAACCAGTAAAATTTTGAGCCACTTTGACATTTTTATATGGTAGGGTTTGCTTGTGAATGAGCTGAATTCAGCTGTCATACAGACTACAGACAATCCCCAACTTAAAATGATTACATTTTATACAATGGTTTGAAAACCATATGCCTTAGTAGAAACTGTACTTTAAATTTTTTTTAAAGTTTTTTTTTTAAGATTTTATTTATTTATTTGACAGACAGAGATCACAAGTAGGCAGAGAGGCAGGCAGAGAGAGAAAGAGAAGCAGGCCTCCTGCTGAGCAGAGAGCCCGATCTGGGGCTCAAACCCAGGACCCTGAGCCGAAAGCAGAGGGTTTAACCCACTGAGTCACTCAGGCGCCCCTGTACTTTAAATTTTGAATTTTGATCATTTCCTGGGTGAGTGACACGCCGTACAATACTCTCGTGATCCTAGGCAATGGCAACGAGCCCCTTCTCCTATCACCAGCCAGCCAGCCTATCACCAGGGTCAATAACCAATACAGTGATGACCATTCTGTACACATACAACTATTCTATTTTTCACTTTCAGTGCAATATTCAATAAGTTCCACGAGCTATTCAATACTTTATTATAAAATAGACTTTATAGCGGATGATCCTGCCCAACTGTCAGCTAACGTAAATGTTTTGAGCATGTTTATAGGCAAGGCTAGGCTATGATGTCCAGTGGGTTAGGTGTGTTAAATGCATTTGCAACTTACAGTATTTTCAATTTACAGTGGGTTTATCAGGATGTTGTCCCATGACAAGTAGAGAAAGATCTCTCTGTTTTTCATGCTGTGCCCATAACACAGGCCCCTGGGTGTGAAAGTCTTACTGCATGGGAGGATCAGGGACAGAACATCCCCTCTTCCTGTTAACACTGTTAACACTGGTTATATTCCAGGCTTCTGAGTATGATTTGGTTTGAAGAAAGGGCTTTGCTGTTTTTAAAGAAACGAAATCTGAGAATCACTATTTTATTGCATTTTGCTCTTTCGGTTTCACTAAAAGGATCAGAAATTGGGAAAGCAAAACGGTTAATTCTAGTGTAACAAGTGTAAGTCTTACAAATGAAATACGTGGACGACAAAGGCGGAGCTCAGAAAGCGTGTGGAAGCCCGGAATCATTCACCTCGCTTGGGCGTCCCGGAACTTCAGCTAACCCGCTAATGTTCAATCATGAAGGAAAAAGACCACAGGTATAAAATATGTATGAAATGCTGAAAACCTATGTCATCAAAAGTTCTATCTAAATCGTGGGGTATAATAGAGGGTTTTATCATCGGTTTTTAACTCCTTGGGAGCAAATGGCTCCTTGTAATGTCTGAGTCTATTAATTAACCTCCACACCTGACTTCAACCCATGGGTTCAGGAATGTGCGATGTACAAAGGGAGTGGAGTGATCGGACAATATTGCCCGAGACAGAAGGAAGCTCCTTGTAATAAAGGACAAGTCCCACTTAATGGTCACTTAACAAATATTTTGCTTGTTGATTTAGTAATTGTGTCTCATTAGAATAAATCTGACTTCTTCATGGAGAACAGTTTGCTGATGTGTTCCCCTCAGCCTGCTTCTCCTGTGGTAATTCTGAAGAGTGCATCAACGTGCATCTTGGGTTTCCTTGTAAACCCATGGAGACCTTCTCTGTGGTGATCTACCTCCCCTGAAATCAATTCTAAACTCACTCCACTGATGTCTAACACTCAGATTTGGATGGAGACATGCTTCTACCTAGAATGGGAGCTTCATGTTTACCTGGAAGCTTGTTTTTACTTTTTTTTTTTTTAAGATTTTATTTATTTATTTATTTGACAGAGAGTGACACAGCGAGAGCGCGAACACAAGCAGGGGGAGTAGCAGAGGGAGAAGCAGGCTTCCCACCAAGCAGGGAGCCTGATGTGGGGCTCAATCTCAGGACCCTGGGATCATGACCTGAGCCAAAGGCAGATGCTTAACAACTGAGCCACCCAGGCGCCCCTACCTAGAAAGCTTCTTAACATTGATACAATGTTATCGAACAGGATGTACACTTTTTAGCACGAGATACACATACCATTCTCATATGTATTTGGTAAGAATTTTTCAAAGCAAATCCTTCCTGAAGAGCCACATGACAATATGGATCAGGAATTTTAGAAAGGAACTCACCTTTTGACCTAGAAATTCTACTTCTACAATTCGTCCTACATAAACAACCAGACAAATGTGCAAAGATGCATCCACGAAGGTATCTATTACAGCATTTATTAGATTAATGATAAACTGGGAAAAACCAATGGCTAGAAATGAAAGGTTTCAAAAGAAAAGGTTACTTCTAGCATATGATACATGTTTATATATATATCTATCTTTTAAGGTTTTTTAAGCTTTATTGTATTTTTTTCATTTGAATTCCAGTGTAGTGAACATGCAGTGTTATATAAATTTTAAGTGTACAATATAGCCATTTGATGGTTCCATATATGACTCAGTGCTCAGCAAGATAAATGTACTCTTAATCTCCTTCAACCATTTTGCCTACCCCCTACCCTACCCATTAAGATTTTTAAGGTTTGGAAAATTTTACACCAAAATGCCAACAATTACTTTGGGGTAATAGTTTCAGTGCCTCAAAAATTTTTATTTGCTCTACCTGAGTAATTTTCTATTTCTTTTTTCTAAAATGAACATGGTATTGCTCTTTGCATGTATATAATATTATTTTTTAGGTAATACAGGCCAGTAAACCCAACATTAAAAGGTTGGAGGGTACTTTTAATGACAACTGCAACACAAGTTTTGGTAAAAATTCTAAATCACTCTTTGTATTTTACAGAGAGTCCTATTTCTGAGGTTTGGATGTTAGCTGTAGTACCCTCTATTTCAAATTCATCTAACAGTTTTCCCATGGGCCCTCCACATCACAAAAATTCCCCATCAGGCCAAACGCCATAATTGCACATGACTCTTACCAGATAGGCTCTCCAGAAGGATTGAATGCACAGCGCTGCCTCTTCTTCTGTCAGCAGGAGGGAGAGTGGGATCGGCGGCCGGGGGCTGAAAAGCAATCAAATGGTCATATGCCCATGAGAATCCATCCTTCAGCCTCGGTGAGCCCTTTGACAACATAATGGCCTCTCTGATTAAGCGCCTCATCCATTTCCATTCTTAGAAAGCAACAATGCCAGTTTTGATAGAGAAGTTTAGCCTTGAGTTATCGCGTTTAATTTTAAAATCTGAGATGGATTCATTTTGCTTTGTTTTTAACCAGGGTACTCTGAAATCACTGTGAGCCTGCTCTGTTCTGAAAGGCTCCAGCTGCTAGAGCTGCATGTGAGTCCTAAAGGTGGGACATCCGTAAGGCTATATGGATGTAAAACAGAAGACAAAGCAGGAGCAGCTCTTAAATACTGCATTATGACTGAGACATAATAAAGGATTCTTTTTCTACCATTCTACTGAAGGGAAATTAAGCAGTTCATCTCTTTCTTGAAGGCAAAATTATTGGAATTTATCTCTGATAAATTGTGTGCGCATTCCAGTTTAATGTGGCTTGAGTTCGGGCGTATATTTTTTTTAAAGATTTTTTTAAAATTTATTTGACAAAGAGAGATCACAAGTAGGCAGAGAGGCAGGCAGAGAGAGGGGGGAGGCAGGCTCCCCACTGAGCAGAGAGCCCGATGCAGGGCTCAGTCGCTGGACTCTGAGACCATGACCTGAGCCGAAGGCAGAGGCTTTAACCCACTGAGCCACCCAGGCACCCCTTGGGCATATTTTTAAGTTAAGTTCTGTTACTACATCTTAATAGGCAATAAAATATCTCAAGTGCTGGGTCAGTTGACATTATTTGCTCTTGTGGGATTTCTCAGATTGTGATGGGATGTTTGATCATAGATAACACATTTGAAAATCATGGCGAAATGCTCTTTTCCTCCCCCCTCCCCTTAAAAGTTGCATAGAGAGACTAACTCCTGACAAGATCTTAGAAGTATGATTTAATTCTGGTTCCTTCTGTTTCTCTAAAGCTCAGCTGCCTCTGGAAAGCCAAGTTAAGCCTTTTTAGAAATGAGTACAAAGAAATAAACCTCAGAAAAGATGCGGGTCACATGGAGGCTGCTCCCAGGATCCTGCTTTGAATTTGCAAGTGAGGGGTTCCTAAGTTACCAGGCCTCAGAGTTCTCCCTAACAATAGCCATCATTTGAGTTTATAGTAACTCCCATCATACAGAGAGGCTGACTGACCGACCCAAGGTCACACAGCTTGTAGGTGGCCTAGCTGGGATCTGAGTCCAGACCCACTGGATCCCAAAGCCTAGGTAGGCTTCCCTCTCAATGCTCTGCCGACACCAGACTTTCCCTGGGCAAACACTCGCAGATGCGGAGCCTGGCCCAGACTGCAAAGCTAAGATGCAACATTGCATGATTCTCCAGGATGTGTGGTTTTATTTCCCTTTAAACTCTGATTTAAAAACAACACAACCCACCCTTGATATAGTATGTTTGTTTGAATGAATGAATGAATGTGCTTTTGAATTATTCCAGTAACAAAGAAATCAAAGCCCAGAAGAATCTTGGGGTCACTGAGATCATTTCAAGGGAGTGTGGAATTGTTGCCAGGTTCTGGGTCTTGGGCTGGGCGGGCCCTTTCAGAGACACCAAGTAAAGAAGATTCTTCTATGTCTTTGGAGAGATAATGACACCCTCAAAATGATAGCATTGTTAGAAACCTTTCCCTAATGTTCTGTTTCATTTTTATTTGCATGATGTGGTGGCTTTTTAAAATTTTTGTTTGGTTCTCTTTTTGTTTTCACTTCTTCTTGCCTAATATCTGGCTCTCTGGGTTGCAGTGGAGTATTCATATTTTGCTGGAGGCCTGTTTTCCACAGTAAATGTCTGTGCTTATCCATTGTCCTCATTCTTGGAATCTCAGTTGTATGACACCAACAGATCATATCCCTGAAGTAATTCTCTTCCACTAGTTAAAAATCAATGGCTTCCAGAGACACCTTGTGTTTCTAAGGATACTTGGTGTGCTGGCAATGGATTTACAAGACTCACATTATTGTGCATTAATACTAGCTGATATTTACCAAGAGCTTTCTGGATTCCCCTCCTATAAGCATTGCTCCTTGTGTTCCAGCCACACTGGCCCTTTTCACCTCTTCAAAAGTGCCCTCCCACCTCAGGGCCTTTGCAGAGGGGCTTTCGTCTGCCTCCAATATCCCCCTACCCCAGCCAGGGGCATTGTGTACAGCTGTGCAGGTTGCTGCTTAAAGACACCCAGCCCGCAGGCCAGATGGCACTGAAACCCAGGCCATGTTCAGGGTGTGAGGCCCATCTGACCTATGGCAGGCACACCTTCTCCTAACTTGCTTAAAACCTTAAGGTTGGAGGTGAGGGGGCTGACACTTCTTCATCCTGGTTCACTCTTACCCTTTCTTCTGATTATGGAAAGGTGTTCTTTGATTAGGTTAGGACCCAGTGGAGCTCTGCGTAATCTTCCTTCCTAGTTCTTGGCCCAAATCGGAGCTGTAACTCTGTGTGGTTATCTAATGAATGCCCCAATCGTCAACTGGACTGAAAGCTCCACGAGGGCAGAGACCAGGCCTGTGTTTGCTCCTCCTGGTAGTCCCAATGCTTAGGAATTATTCCAGAATCAAAGACATCAAAGCCAGGGAGAACCTTAGGGGTGGGGACACCATTTTTAGTGGGTACTTGATAAATGTTTGTGGAATGAGCCTCTCTGCCTGGCACAGCGTCCTAAGTGCTTTCCATACATTATTTCATTAAATCCTCACAGTATCACTGTTGGTGGGAGTGCAAGTTGGTGCAGCCACTCTGGAAAACAGCATGGAGTTTCCTCAAAAAGTTGGAAATAGAGCTACCCTATGACCCAGCAATTGCACTACTGGGTATTTACCCTAAAGATACAAATGTAGTGATCCGAAGGGGCACGTGCACCTGAATGTTTATAGCAGCAATGTCCACAATAGCCAAACTATGGAAAGAACCTAGATGTCCATCAACAGACGAATGGATAAAGAAGATGTGGTATATATACACAATGGAATACACACTATGCAGCCATCAAAAGAAATGAAATCTTGCCATTTGCGACGACGTGGCTGGAACTAGAGGGTATCATGCTTAGCGAAATAAGTCAATCGGAGAAAGACAACTATCATATGATCTCCCTGATATGAGGAAGTGGAGATGCAACATGGGGGGTTTGGGGGGTAGGAAAAGAATAAATGAAACAAGATGGGATCAGGAGGGAGACAAACCATAAGTGACTCTTAATCTCACAAAACAAACAGAGCGTTGCTGGGGGGAGGGGGGGAGGGAGAGGGGGGGTGGGGTAATGGACATTGGGGAGGGTATGTGCTATGGTGAGTGCTGTGAAGTGTGTAAACCTGGTGATTCACAGACCTGTACCCCTGGGGATAAAAATACATTAAATGTTTATTAAAAAATAAAAATTAAAAAAAATCCTCACAGTATCAGTAATGATCGATTGTTATCCTTCTTTTGGAATGAAGAAACTGGCCGTGATCGTATAGTGGTTAGTACTCTGCGTTGTGGAATGAAGAAACTGAGGCACAGAGGTGTGAAGTGACTCATTCGAGGTCACTGACCATATCTTGCTGAGAATCTTTTGGCCCGGGAAGCACAGGGATTGGCCTAAGGAGAAGAGAAGGCAGCTCACAAGGTCACTGATGAGGAATTCAGGGTCTCACAGCTGTGTGTATTTAATAGAAGAAAACACAGTCATTTGCCTAGAAGAAAAAATGGGGGTGGGGGGTGGGGGTGTCGTGATCACAGAAAATGCCCTCTTCATTAATTCTTACAGAAATAACTTGGCAGGTATTCATTTGTCTGACGTTCCACGGGGAAATCTGATGTCAGGACCGCAGAACAAAGTGGTTTGCCACTTGTATCTGAGGGGAGATTTGATGGCGCCTTTCTGTTCGGCAGCAATATTCCTGCCTTAAGTATATTTTTTTCTACTGATGTCATGAAATCCTCAAAGTAACCGTATTCCTGTTTCGGAATAGCAGTAGGAAAGGAGAACTGCAAATCTTGGGACAACAGGCTGGGTCAGCCCGACAAAGGGCTTTCACCGGTAATGAAACCTCGAATGGCTTTGCATCACAATGAATCTCCAAAAAGCAAAATGAGATTTCTAATAGGCCTTTAAGCAGTAATATGAGGCCACCTTTAGTGACATCCCTGCTTTCATGGCTAAATAATGGGGTGCTGTCTCGTTCCCAAACCAAGAATAAGCATGAGAGAGCCAGTGTAAATCAGGCCAAATGAAAAGGACTTAATCTCCCGAGAGTAGTCCCTGGGAATTATCAATCATTTCAGCAGGCCAGCTTGAAGGGATAGAAGCCACGTCAGGCCCTTTTCTCTCTTTTGGAATCAGTGCAACTGGCTTCAGGTCAAATAAAACTAGAGGCGGAGTAGAGGCGACCGCTCATCGTTGGGGAACTCAGGTGGGGGATGATGGGCCATGTCAGTCAAAGGAGAAGGCAGCACCGGAGGCTTCCCCCTCAAGAGATTCCCCAGAGCAGACAGGTTTGTGTGTTTCTTTTCTTTTCTTTTTTTTTTTTTTAGATTTTTTTATTTTTTTGACACAGAGAGAGAGAGAGAGAGAGAGATCACAAGTAGGCAGAAAGGCAGGCAGAGAGAGGGGGTGGGGGGGGAAGCAGGCTCCCTGCTGAGCAGAGAGTCTGATGCGGGGGCTCGATCCCAGGACCCTGAGACCTTGACCTGAGCTGAAGACAGAGGCCCAACCCACTGAGCCACCCAGGCACCCCAGGTTTGTGTGTTTCTACCAGCAAAACAGAACCACTAAGTATGTTTTTAAGACCTGACTTGCTGGTAATGCTCATTTGTCATATCCTTTTCCTTTTTCCAGAAAAAGATTTATTTATTTATTTTTAGAAAGAGAGCATGAGTGGGAGTGGCAGAGGAAGAGGGAGAGAGAGAATCGCAAGCGGGCTCCAACTCGGGGCCTGATCTCACAACACTGAGATCATGACCTGAGTGGAAGT